CCGCCGTCGCCGCACACAATATTTGTCTATAATAATAGATATTATTATCAAATACCATAATATTATAGTTTCGCCACTCCAGTTCGGTTTCGTTTTCGCGATTTATTTATAATTATTGTTCGCGGGTTCCGTGACGTCGCTGCGTGTATTATACGCGATTTACAACAACGGTTTTATAATAATTTATCCGGTGACTGCGATAGTACAATATTACCGGGTTCATTGAATTCTCGTGTTTTCCAAGTTCGGGAGTACTTACGGCGCCGGTCGCGTTCAGGACATGTGCTGTTGATGACTCCGGTCGCGGATAGCATGAAATCCATAGCACTGTTGCGCACCACCACCACCAACAACAACAACAAGAGTTGTTACTACGGCGGTTACCCGACCGATCTGAGCGGTTACGCCGCGGCCTCTAGGTGCCGATCGCCCCGGAGTCCGGTGCCCGACGACACGGACGACATAAGCGTCGGCAGGCCGTCGCCACCAGCGTCGGCCGAGTGTTATGCCCGGCTGCACGATGACGGCGGCGGTCATGGGTCCGACACGTCGTCGTCCGGCGGCGGTTCCGATTACTTCGAACCGCTGAAGAAGTTGGGCACGGTGCAGATCGACAAGGTGAGCTATGGCATTAGCGATCGCAAGAGCTATGCACCCAAACGTCGGGCGCACAGGCAGCAGCAGCAGCATCATCAGTTGTTGTTGTCGCCGCCTCCACTACCGCTGCAGCTGGACGGCTGCCCGGCGTCCGGTCGYGTCGACATGATGACGATGACGACGACCACGCAGCAAGTTGGCCGGACCATTCCCGGTTCGTCGTCCGTTACCGAGGAAGCACAGCCCGCGGCCGGCGTCAAGTCATTCAGCATCGCCGACATACTTAGCCACGAACCGTCGTCGGCGGGTGGCAAACAACCGTCGGCCACAGGTGCCGACGACGTGGCCAAGATCGTCAGACCCTGGGCTGAGGAGTATCAGCCGCCGTGCAGCTCGTTCGTGCATCCACCGCCACCTCCTCCACCTCCCGCTCACCGACAGCCCGTGGTCGGTGCCYTGTTYCCGCACTCGCTGTTCATACAGCACCTGCARCAGCAGCAACACCATCACCATCACCAGCAGCACCAGCACCAACATCACCACCAGCACCGACCAAAATCTGCCGACTACGAGACGTCCACGTGCACCAGCGGCCGGTCCAGCACGGACGGAAGCGAGTGTTGCACGAGCCCGGAAATAGCGAGTTGCACCCAGTCAAACCCGTCGTCGTCGTCAGCGGCCGCCGCCAGGAAGCAGCAATCGGCCGGCAAGAACAACGATAACTCGTCACCGCTGGATGCGCTGTTCCAGATGACCAGCAAGACGTTCRATCAACTGCACGGCGATCCGTCCGGAGCCGGTAAGTGCAATGCCTTGAATATTTTCACAAAACTATTTCATTCCGATTTTGGATTTAAGCGCAGTCTTGGCAGTTGGCAGGGTTTTCATACATTTATTTCATGCGTGGGGGGGACATCATTGAATAGACGGTCGCCAAACGAATTTGATGCGCTACATTGTAATAATATTATTACTGTACCGAAATAAAATTAACGTTCCGTGCGTTATACCTATGTGAATATACAGGGTGATTCTTTTAAGAGGGTACACTAATTATCTCGAAAAGTATTTACTTCTTTCAAAATATTTTTATACATGGTTTCAAGTTGTTAAAAATCCAACGTTTTCATTAAAAAATTATATTTTTATCCTTCTCATTTTTTAAATTTTTTACTTTTTTGAATAACAACACAGAGTTTTAATTTCATATTTCAAAGTAGAATATTTTTCTAAGTATTTTGATTCATAAAAATCGAATTTAGGACGAGTAGTTTATGAGTTATAAGTATTTAAAGTTTAGTCAAGCGGAGTAGTGGACAAACATTTTGCGGGGTAACCCCGTATCACACCACTCTGCCAATCTAAACTTCAAATATTTATAACTCAAAAACTTCTAGCCCTAAATTCGATTTTTATGAATCATAATACTTAGAGAAATATTATTAAAGTCGATTGTGATATATACATAATATATTATATATAGAAATATATGTAGCCGGAACTCTGCGGGATATGTCTTAAGACTGAAATAATTACGGAATAGGTAGATGAAAAATAATAATAGAACGGACGCAATAATTTGTGACGATGAATCTAATGTAACAAATGCTAAAAAAATTCATCAATGGTAGTAGGTGCTATTAAATTTCAGTTGTCGGATTAGGTGCGTGGTAAAATAAATAAATAAATATTACACATGATATTATTTTGTATAAGTAGATAATAACATAGTTTGAGAGAAATTTTTCAATTCCACTCTTTCATGTATTTGCTCCGCCAYGAAAAAGTTATCAGCCATTTGATAATTAGTTTTTGTCGAAATTAGGACATAATATATTTTGACATCCGACGGTATCATCACTGTAACTTTATGGTATTTATTAAAAGTGAATGCTTGACACCCACAGGCTACGGAAAATACTTTTGACAACGGATAATTGTATACTTATTTAAATATTAATTTTAGAATTATTATGTATTTAATTACTTTAGGTTGATACTACACGTAGTAAAGCTAAAATGCCTAAAACTAAACGATGAGTATTTGTGCGATTATGATTGTATTATTTTAACAAGGATTGACAATTAATACATATAATACTAATAATTTTGATAAACAATACATGCTACTTGACGTATTATAATACAATCCCATGGGCCCAAATTTATACTTTCTTTGATGTACAAAAAATAACCCAATCAAGTTGAAATATTGTAGATTAAAAAAAGCATATTTTTCTTTTTCATTTTACAGGCATTATATGCGCTCCCAGTACTCAATTTGTCGGGTTTTTTTAAAAATATATAAATATAAAGAAAATATTTTGCGTACCTACCAATTTTAAATTATGAGAAATAAGTTGTTATACCTTAGTCAGTTCCTATTAAGTATTTAGCATTTGTAAATTATTTTAGACTGTTTTTCATTTATGCCTTTTAGACTATATCCATTTAATAGTACCTACTTAAATTTATATTTTACGTATTTTAAGTATTTTATTTATTTACATTTTTTGCCTTTTAAAAACATTTAAATTTAAATTTTCATGATTTTAATTACCATTTAAATTTGTCTTTGAACGTTTTTCAATAAGCTGGGAAACTATTTTTTATAAGACAAAAAAGATTTAAAGTGGTAACAACAACTTTGGGAAATCAACATTAAAATTCATCTATGAGGTATAAGAGTTTCTTTATAATAGATTTCTTTAATTTTTGGAATTTTAATGCAATAAAACTGCAAGCACACTTATTTCAATACTGATTATAATATGTATGGTCGACTAAAAAACTGAATTATATTTTGTATGAAAATAAATGAACATGTATATATATCTAGTTGAGAAAACATCAGGAAAACCCAATCTAACTCTATTAGGTATATTATAATACGGCCAAAAATAGAATTTCAGATCTGAGACCGAAATATAAAACTATTACTTTCATCATGACAAGGGCTAAGGTGTCGGTCTGGAAATGAGAATTTTCTAGATATTAATAAAAAATCAGTAAATGCGTCAACAATTTGTTTGTACTAAAACTTTTAAATATCGTATTACTTYATTAGTGCAATAATTATGTTACATTTTAATAGTATTAAATACATATGAGAAAAATCCACTGTACTCTGTTAGTTAATTGGATTGTCATAATTTTTTTATAATCTAGTTATAAATAAATATAAGTATCRTTCTCATATTTATATACATTTATACGAATTATACCTACTTTCTGATACCAWAATATCAGTTTTATATATGTATATGTTCTGTAATCAGTGGCAAATGTCTATTTTAATTTTTTTTCATTAACACATAACACGTACAATTTAAACGTAGATACCTAATTTATATATCTTTCGGAACGAAAATAATGAGGACCCTAAAATCAATATTTTATAGTTTACAACCAATAATAGTTTTGCCTTGCTTAGAGTTTCAAAATAAATCACGTGTATATCAACTTCCATCGTTTATAATAATTATGTGTACTAATGAATATTACTGTAATATCATTAAAATGTATATAAGAAGCGAATAAAATAATTATAATAAGTACCCAATAAATTATATATATATACATATAAATATAAATATATATCTTTTACATCATATCTTACAAATATGATGATAACAACTGTATGAGCAATTTTACAATTTTATTATTTTTCCGGGACAATTACGGACGAACACGCTCGCGAATCGACATCATCAGCACTCTATATACTTGAATATCTAAATTATCTATTGGTGGGAAAATCTTTACAAAGACGGAGGGCGTAGTGCGTAGACGACCGGGTGTTTTTCAAGGCTTAATTGTATGCATCTTACCAATTTTCAACCACCACCCCGAAAGGGGGGCGCCCAGTTTCATTATTTATTGTTCGCCGATTCCGCAAACGAATGCATCGCGAATCATATATTGTACTCGAATACTTGGCCGGTGCGAAATAATAATGCATGTGTTATAATATTGTATATAATATAAGCATAATATAGGTATTATAATATAAAAGGGGTGCAGGGAAAACAAAAATCTTCAAACGATCGATCGATCGTCCGCTATATACAACGCATTCGAACACCGAGCGATCGCGCTTACACTGCACACGTACACACACACACGTACACACACACACACACACACGCGCACACACACACACACACACGTTGCACGCAAACACATAAATATTGTTTAGGTGAGTAATAAAACCGCCCTTCTGACGTCCCGCGGCCGCCCTTCACGGACCACCCCGTAGTTGAGGTACCCGCGGCCGTCGGTTTTCTTTAGRCTCGCGTGGAACAATATATAGAATAATATAGCTGACTACCTATGTATAGCCGTCGTTGTCGTCATTATAGAAGGTTAATACAAAATATGTACGCTATATCGTTGCGTATATTAATATATGTGTTGCGCCGCACACCGCCGWGTGTAATATAACAACAATAAATAACGCCTAAACTCTGGACCCCGTGTATAATTAAAACATTTATTTGTATATGACGTATTAATAACGTAGAATGGAGAAAATAATAACAGCCAGCAATAATATTATACGGGAAATTTAATTATATTACGGCGAGGTGGACACAGAGCAGATGTTTCCCTCTGACGGCCCGCCGCGCAGCGCTTCGGGTTTCCATATCTCTGGTCTACTTATTGTCGTCTCTAATTTATATGGTCTTGTGATTCAAATTTTACTTTTTCAGCACCGTTTTCTATTAGGCACTGTAATACCTGCAYACGGACCACCCTCCACCGCAATGGTTTATGTACACCTACCTAACTTGTATGTATATTGTACGTGGTGCTGGTTTTTTTATACCATCACCTCTCTGGACTCTCTGCAGTCCTTAAAGACGATCCAATGACTAAATTTTGTAATAAACATACATAATATATATATATATATATATATGATGATGATACATAGGTACCTTGGCTTAAAAGATATTTTATTAACGCACTGCGTTGTCATTATAAAACTACATAGGTACCTATATCAAACAGCCACGACATTATTATTACGAATTACGATGACAACGGTAATATGTAACATAACGTTAAGTACAGCGGAACGGTGGTTTCATTTTACATAAAACATATTTTATAGAAAATTAATAAATAACTATTTCTGATCCAACTCTTTTTCTATCTTTAATTTTGACTTTTACTTAGCATAATTTGCATTCCATGATATTCATACGAATCTGAACGATGACAGGTATATGAGGTAATACAAGTTTTGTATAACGTGCTAAAAATGATGGCACGGATTTTTTTAGCACCCCGGAAACATTTAAATATAGTGTTCTATTATACCCCAAAATCATAGTAGAATATTAGTGTAGAGTTATAGCAATATATGATAGTTATACTGACYATTATTTTTTCTAAAATTTAGAATGTATATGTGTAARATTACAATATCCTAGCATTTTTAACGTAACATATACATATAGCTTTATTATTTATTTCAATGTTAATAGATAATCACAGAAATCTTAAAGCGGTATGACATATAAAATTGTATCCCTAGTTTATTCAGTCCTACCGCGGTAGTAAAAAAATGTATAAACTCAATAGAAAATCTAGACCTTGAATAAATGAGCTATGGGCATAATACCTACATAGGAACATTCAACGATCCTAAACTCGCACGGGATGTTTGTGAGCATATTATAATATTACCTTGTTTATTAATTTATTATACAGTAGCGTGTATTATCGATTTTCCCTCACTAAGCAGCCGACAGCAAATTATAACCGACACGCGAATAATGTGTCAATCTCATC